GACGCACCCGAAGATGTGTTTCTGCGTCAACATCTTGAACGGTAACCGGTGAAGGGCCCGGTTCAAGACACGCAGATCCAAGATTGGTTAGTAACCCACCGCCTTTCTTGGGTACAATGAAGTAAGGGCTGTAAAACCCCGTCCTCATATCGGCTGGAGGGACCAGCTATATTGCGTCCTTCGCCAGTAGGACTGCGATCTTCACAAGCAAGACAGGAGCATCGGCCGCCTTCACTGTTGTGAAACAGATGCTGCTGAACTTGGGGGGAAGTCGGGCGAACTGAATCGCATAGCTGAGGCTGATTTGGCTCTTTTGCTCACCGCCAGGTTTGACGGGGGCCTGGACGGGTGGGGCGGCCTGCCTATGCCCAGCTCCACGGCGCCGCTTGCTGGAGGCTCCCGCAGATGCGGCGCGGGAGCAGGGGCGGACGCAGGGGGCCGCCCTCGGCGAAGGCAGCAGCTGCCCGCCGGGGAAGGGTGTGACGACCCGCCTCAGTCTGCTTCTGTGCAGCCGAGAGCTGCTGGGCCAAACTCTCGACCGCGTCGCCGAAGAGGCCGGTCTGGGACACAGGGGCATTAAGGAACCAATCTTTGTCTGCGTCCCTCATATCAACCAGACACAGCCAGAGATGGTGCTCTTGGACCACAAGTGTGGACATCGCACGACCCAGAGAACTCGCGGTGACCTTCATCGCTCGGAGCGCGAGGTCAGTAGCGGTTCGGAGCTCTTTCAGTACTTCCGGATCATGACCACCCTCGTGCAGGTCCCTCAGCGCCTTGGCCTGATGAACCTGCAGTAACGCCGTAGCGTGTCTCCGGGAAGAAAGGCACTGAGGCGGGGCGCTGAGAACCTGCGCGAGCCACCCCGGGGAACCAATCGTCCAGCGGTGGAGGTTTTCCACTCGAGCCCTACCCTCTCGGCGGCCCGGGAAGCATAGCCGACATCTCTGGATCCGATTCAGGCCATGCCACCGTCCCGGAGGGCGGCAGCGCAGCCAAATCTTCTTCTCCAGAGAGCTCTCCCTCCGATGCAGTGATCAACATCCAGTCGTCGGGAGGAGCACCGAAGGATACCGTTGGTACGCTCTTTAAAGAGGGCCCAGCGCGTTCCTTTGGCAGCTCAACTGGTTGCGAAGCGCTAGAGGAGCGATGGTCCCCCGAGGGTTGGAACGGCCCGCCGCCAACACAAAAAGCTCCCTAGAGCGCGCTAGACTCGTCACACACGAAGCAGTTTGGTAGGAGCAGAACGATATTGTCGCTCGGCTCCGAAGCGAAAAGCTGGTATGCATTGCACCGGCTGCCTTTTTATGC